CGAGCTTCTTCCAACGAGCTTCTTCCAACGAGCTTCTTCCAACGAGCGGCCTGCCTGAGACCTCGTGGATAATTCAGCAGCTTCCTCACTGGTGGAAGGTAAAAGTGGACGGAGAGGATAAAGATAGCTCGGACCCTCTGGGTGACATTCACTCTACCCAGCAACCAGAGGATCCCTGTGAGAACGCTCGTTGGTATTCTGTAGGTCCAAGTGAACCATTACTCAGCTCAGCCTCAGGTTCGCAGCACCAGTTTGAATTCAAGTGTGAAACCAACAGTAACCTGGTGATTTAGGTGGCGCTGTAAAGAAAAAACCACAACTCGTCTGGGCTCGCTGCCAACACAGTCCAGTCAAAGTTCCTACACGGCCCCATTTTAAAGTTCAGCACTTTTCTAAACTCAAGTTTCTGATAAAACTCCTGGTAATTATCACCCACCACCACAGGCATCTGCAGAGAGATGATGTTATTGAACTTTTCTATCATGTGTTCATATTTGAATAAATATTGGCTGACAGCCGAATCAAGATGCCGCCACAGCTGACCTACACAAAAACAGCTGTGGTTCAGTGAGTTTTACAGCGTGGTAGTAGCTGAGAGTCATCACAGCACATCCTCCAAGCTCTAACAGATCGTGCCACGTCTCCATATCACATGAGACTGTTCTATGATTCAAGGCTGGACCAAAACCACTGAAGCTTTGCCATTTGTCCACATGAAGCAGTCTTAGTTTAAAACGTTCCTGCTTTGTCTGGACCAGTTGAAATAAATCTTCTTACTCGTGTTGTTGCAGCGGAGAACAAAACACTGGACCAAGTGCATCTTCTCATGGATGAGTGACCACCTGTGACTAACCTCCTCCTGATCTGAGCATACACCGACACGCGTGTTCGTCCTGTGTCGTGGAGCCAAGAGAAGAATTTACAACCTCCATCCACCCATCCATCCATCCACCCATCCATCCATCCATCCATCCATCCACCCATCCATCCATCCATCCATCCATTCATCCATCCATCCACCCATCCATCCATCCATTCATCCACCCATCCACCCATCCATCCATCCACCCACCCACCCATCCATCCATCCATCCACCCACCCATCCATCCATTCA